CCCAGCTACTCAGGAGGTTGAGGCAGGAGAATTGCCTGAACCCAGGAGGCGGAGGTTGCGGTGAGCCGAGATCCAGCCTGGGTAACAACAGTGAAACCCTTTCTAAAAAAAAAAAAAAAAATGGGTTCCAGCCAGGCGTGGTGGCTCATGCCTGTAATCCCAGCACATTGGGAGGCCGAGGCGAGTGGATCACGAGGTCAGGAGTTCGAGACCAGCCTGACCAACAGGGCAAAACCCTGTCTCTACTAAAAATACAAAAATTAGCCGGGCATGGTGGCGGGCGCCTGTAATCCCAGCTACTCAGGAGGCTGAGGCAGAACTGCTTGAACCCGGGAGGCGGAGGTTGCAGTGAGCCAAGATCGCCCCCACTGCACCCCAGCCTGGGTGAAAGAGCAAGACTCCATCTCAAAAATAAATAAATAAATAAATAAATAGGTTGCAGACGGGCGCGGTGACTCATGCGTATAATCCTAGCACTTTGGGAGGCCCAGGCGGGCAGATCGCTTGAGCCCAGGAGTGCAAGATCAGCCTGGGCAACCTGGTGAAAACCCCTTTTCTACTTAAATAAATAAATAAATAAATAGAATAGTTTGCAAAGTTGAGAAGATCATGGCAATTTTTTTTTTTTTTTAAGAAAACACTCAAAGAAGTCCCTCATACAAGTATATAACTCAAGATATTGCTTGTATTCTTTGTAACTTGGGCAGGCTGCAATAAGTCACATTGCCGAAGATTAAGACCCCATGAGCAAGGAGTGTGTGGTCCTGGTGAAAGGAAAAGGGAGCTTTGGAGGAGAATTCGTTTAGTTATCTAAGATGTGTAGCCGAGAAGCTCCTCTCTTCCCCCATTTAAAGGTTGCAGCAGAGCCACCGCCTCCGGAGCAGGTTTGCCCGCCGGCTTCGGCTTTGCAGCAGGCACCGCCTACAACTCCCGGCATGCCGCCGGGCGTGGGGCTGGCACGTAGACTCCATTTCCCAGCCCGCCCCGGGGCTAGGGCAGGACGTGCCGGCGCCTATAAGAGACAGAGCGCTGCGGCCGGAGCCTATTGTTAGCCGGAGCCGGGGCGGTTCTGGGCGTCTGCTGCTGGGGGCGCCAGAGTTGCCGGAGCCGCCCGGCCCTCTCTGCCTGCCGGCCGGGCTGCCCACCGCCCTCCCTCCCCGCCCTGCCGCCCTGGGAGCTCCCCGGCTGTCGCCGCGGGGCCCCGGACTCGCTCGCTCCTCCCTTCTTCCCACCCGGGCTAGGGCGGCGGCGGCAGCGGGGGCGGCAGAGACCATCACGGGAGGAGGCAGCTGCGGCGGGGCCGGTAATGGGCCTAGGGGTGCGGGGCGGAGGGTGCCGCCTCGTCCTTTCTCGGGATCGGCCCTCGGGCGGCCGTGGAGGAGTGGTCAAGCCCAGAGCCGTGCGGATGGAGGGGTCAGAAATGAGAGGCTCGGACGGGAGCGGTCGGGGGGCAGGGAGGTCGGGTGCCGTTGGGAAGGAACGGCCTCGGGTAGAGGCGTGGGAGCGAGAGACACCCAGGACGCGGGCCCGGACTGCGGGGGCAGCTCGAGGGAGACCGCTGGGCGGCTTGGAAGCCTGCAGGATTGCGGATGAGGATTGAGTTCGGAATGGAGTGGAGAATGATGTAGGATGGAAGAAAGTGAAGGAAGGGGAGGGGGAACAGAGGAAAATGTGGGAGGAGTGGTTGGGAATTTGTGAGTAGCAGGCAGGAAGGGATGAGGAAGGCTGGGTAGGGGCTGCAGAGGGTTGGAATGAGCGGGAAGGTTAGCGGGAATCAGAGGAAAGTGGGCCGAGAGCTGAAGGGTTCCGCAGGCGTGTTCATTAAAGGGAACTGGTGACTTGACATGTCTCTTCGCTCTGGTTCCTGATGTTTCCCATATTTCTGGCGTCGTGTAGGAAAAGGAAGGCATCGCTTCCCCTGGTTGCTAGCTTGATCTTTTTTCATAGGCCCAAACACGCAGCCAACTGCCACCCGTCCCTTTTAGTGCTGCGGTCTTGATTCATCCTTTTAAAGGGGTTGAGAGTGGCAGTGTGACACACAAACTGTTCTTCAATATGAAATGCTAGAAGTTATCCCCAAAAGACAACACTGTCCCCTTGTCTTGCAGTTTTCAGTTCAAGGTAATTGCATAGTTCCGATTTTTTCTTTCCTGGCTTTCTGTTTTGTAAATCTCCAAAGCCAGGATGTTGGTTGTGCCGGTGTGATAAATGACTGGATATCCTTGAGAGTTAATGCAGCATCATGTTCCATTTCCCACAAAGATCTCCTGTCTTCCACACGATGGTAGTTTAGGCATGGAAAGCCAAATTCTAACCCTGTGTTAGTGAATAGGGAGTGGGGGTGGTGGGTGCACGACTTTCTTTAAATACCTAGCTTAAATGGAGGGTTTTCATTTGAGTGCTCTATAAGCTCATGATCCTGGTGATCACAAAGACGCATGGATCCATCAAATTTATAGTATTTGAGAATCAACCACAGTATCTTGTAAAAGGAGAAACAGGGCAGGTCATCTTATTCAGGTTTATCATAACACAGCAGCAACCCTTCCTTCCTCCAACCCAGCTACAGATGGCAGCCCTGACCATCTTACTACAGATTTTGGTTTCTTGACCTTTAGCAGAAGGTTGGATTCCAGTCGAGTGGAGAGGCTTTCTCCTGTGGGATGTAGCTTATTACTTTGGACTCATTTAAGAAAGAAACTTGTATTACCTAAACTTTGCAAATACATTCTAGAAAATTTTGCTTGGGCCAGTCCCTCTTGCTGGTCTCACATATACTAGGTTTTAAAAATTTTGTTTGTTTGTTTTGGTGATTATAGGAGTCCTTATAGGCCTGAAAAAAAAATTAGATCTAGTACTAAAATACACATAATGCTGGTAGACCTGTTTATACGGTGCTAACCTAATGTCTTCTATGCTGTGGATCTTAACTATTTCATATACCATTGGGAAATGTTCAGCCAGAAACCCTTGAGAAAAGACCACAAGACACGTAGCCAGAAAGTGTCAGGTGACCTTTAATTTCACTGGGATTTAAAAGCTTTTATAGAGGATTGCGTTGTTTTCTCCAAAAGCATTTGTTGAGTTGGTCATTTTGACAGTTAACTGTCAGTTTTTACCTGCATTCCCAGGCTCTAAAACTTACAAGTTTCTCTCTTAAACACAGGCATTGATCCTCTACCAATGAATAGGTGAGACAGGTAGGAATGACTGATTTCTAGTTGTAGTTTGAAAGATTAATTTGATGAATTGGAAAGTCTGGAAACTATTTTAATTGTTACTATTGCAAAGAAAGATTTCTTTTTTAAAAAATTTATTTAAAATTATTATTTGTTTTTTATTTTTGAGACAGGGTCTGGCTCTGACACCTAGGCTGGAGTGCAGCAGTGCAATCTCAGCTCACTGCAACCTCTGCCCCCTGGGTTCAAGCAATCCCCCCACCTTAGCCTCCCGAGTAGCTGGGATGACAAGCACACACCACCATGCCCAGCTAATTTTTGTATTTGTAGTAGAGGGGGTTTTGCCATGTTGGCCAGATTGGTCTTGAATTCCTGGCCTCAAGTGATCTGCCCACCTTGGCCTCCCAGAGTGCTGGGCCTACAGGCATGTGCCCCACCACACTGGGCCAATTTTTAAAAATACAGAGACAGGGTCTCGCAATGTTGGCCAAGATGGTTTTGCACTCCTGTCCACAAGCAATCCTCCTGCCTCAGCCTCCCAAAGAAGGATTTCTTCGGGGCACTATGGAAGTGAACAGGAGGTTTGTTCTTAGTGTCCAGTGAACATCTTTATCTAAAAGTCAAGTTCACATCAGGGAGTTGGACAAGGGGAGCCAGGTTGAAATTTAATCTTACGTTGTTGTCAGGACATAATAGATCTTTTTTCTTTTTTAAAAAATAATGGAGCCAATGTCAGAGGAAGTGCTGCTAACAGAGCCTGGGTAGGGTGAAGAGAGCAACGGAGTCTCCTTGAGGATTTTACTGAGTTCCATCCACGTGAATAGAAGAGTTTGATCATAGTCAGTATACATGTTATTTACACAAATAGCCATAGGTTCCAGTTGTTTTCAGACAGCTTAAAGAAAATATTTTTCTCCTAGGTGTCACATCTTTTTTCTTCTTTCTTACCTACCTCCTATCATTGCCCAGAAACCACTATTCCAGAAGTAGAGAAAAAGAGGAGAATAGAACAAGCAGTCAGCAATCCTTCCTGCATCCAAGTTCACAAAAAGTCACCTAAAGAGAACTGATACTCCTGAGGGTTAAGACCATGGAGAATTCCATTTTTTTTTTTTTTTTTTTTTTTTAGATGGAGTCTCTCTCTGTCACCAGGCTGGAGTGCAGTGGTGCGATCCTGGCTAACTGCAACCTCTGCCTCCCAGGTTTAAGTGATTCTTCTGCCTCAGCCTCCCCAGTAGCTGGGATTACAGTCGCCCGCCACCACACCTGTCTTAATTTTTTATTTTTAGTAGAGATGGGGGTTTCATCATGTTGACCAGGCTGGTCTCGAACTCCTGACCTCAGGTGATCCTCCTGCCTCAGCCTCCCAAAGTGCTGGGATTACAGGTGTGAGCCACCATGCCCTGCTGACCATGGAGAATTCTAGTAATAAAGATGATTTTGGTGCAGACCCAAGTTTATATGGGACTTAAAGAGAAATATTCAAAGGAAACACTACTAGAAGCCCAGGGACACCTGAGGAAAGAACAGGAGTATACATTTATTTACAGTCATACATCCTTGAGTGTGTCCAGGTCAAGGAAGAAGCTAGCTAGCTCCTTCCTTTTCTTATTTTTATTTTTGACAAGGTCTCGCCCTGTTGCCCAGGCTGGAGGGCAGTGGCACAGTCATAGCTCACTGCAAGCCTCGACCTCTTGGGCTCAAGCGATCCTCCCACCTCAGCCTCCCAAGTAGCAGGAACTACAGGCGCATACCACCATGCCCTGCTAATTTTTGTATTTTTTGTAGAGATGGAGTTTTTCCATGCTGCCCAGGCTGGTTTCTAGCTCCTGGACTCAAGCAATCTATCTCCCTTAGCCTCTGAAAGTGCTGATATTATAGGTGTGAGCCATTGTGTCTGGCCAAAAGCCACTTTTCTAGTAGCAGCACTAACTGAAACTCAGTTAAAACTCAGGTGGGCCTAAAACCCTCTGAGAAAGCAGATTGAGGCTCAGGCTGATTTATCATGTAGCTGATAAGTGGGGAGGCAAAATTAAATTCAGTGGGCCACATTATTCTATCTCTAAAAAATACCACCCACATAAGTATTCGATCACAAGGGGTTCCTCCTCCCCCTACAATAGAATGGAATGAGAAATGTGTTTGTTGATAGGTAGCTTTAAACCCAGCTAAAATCTTAACCCGTAAAAAGCCCTTGACTTCCTCCTTTCTTACCATGCCCTAAGAATGTGACCTCTGATGGTAAGATCAGTAACCCGAAGAACTGAACTGATACTTTGGGCCCATTTTTAAATTTAATTACAATTTTTATCGAATACTTTATTATTTTTTTTCTTTCCTGGCCAAATTTATTTCAGGAATGTGCTTGTCTGAGACTTCTGATGGCTGAGGTTTCTTAGGTACATCTTGGGACTTGAATGCAGAATTTGATGCAATCTGGATAGATTAGGAAATATCTTCTCTAAGGTACTTATTAGGTCTGGTTGACTTTGTAGAGCTGATCCAAGAGCAGGCAAATTGCTTCCAACAGACACAGTCCAGAAAAACAGCTCTGTAGCAAGCATCTCTTGACACCACAGTATATTCTGGGTAGCTGCTCTGCAGTAATGCAGCCCCGTCGTTCTGGGCAGTGTTGTTATTCCTGCTGCATAATTAGCAACTGGTGAGATCATAGTCTGGGTAGGTTCTGGCATTACTGAGGCAGGGGAGGGTTCGTATCTCATCACACATGGCTCCAGCTCTGACAGCATTTGTGCTGAGCAGATTTGTGTCCTTCTGGAACTTAAATCCAAGGATGAAATAAAAAGATTTGTACCTAGGAAATGGACTATCTCAGACTCCTTGGTTGTATGAAGACGTGTTGAAAACAACACTGCTTGCCACACTGATATAACCAGAATAAATGGTTACTCCTCTTGCTATTTGTTTTCCCCTTGCTGATTTCTTTATAGAGGGCAAAGATTGTAAAGCTACAATGTCCTTGCACAGAGGATGGTAACAGACCAGATGACCCCTATTTTATGGAGAAGTATGAGGCTGGGAAAGATTCTGGGTTTTGGAGCCATGCAGATTCTAATCTTGGGTCCATTACTTGGTACCAAATTTGACCTTTATAGAAGCCTGGTGAGATACTTTACACTTGTGAAGATCTGGGTAAAGGGTTTTCCTGACTGCTAATGTCCTTCAAAATTGAGAGCATAGAGCAGTATTTCCCACAGTGTACTCTAAGCATTATATGCACCCTAAAGTAACTTGGAAACAGTGGGTTCCACAATCAGGTTTGTAGAAACACTGCATTCTGTGTTCTCAGGCTTCACCATCCTTATTAGTATATGTAAAGCCTCTAAGAGGTTCCACTATAGGCAATTTTCTAAACCCTTTTGACATAGCAGTCCTATTTCCATGTAAAAGCTATTAATATCGGTAAGATATGCACTTTGGGAAATGCCAGGCCTTATTATCACTAGGAAAAATAAGCCGGTCTAGCCGGGTGCAGTGGTGCATGCCTGTAGTCCCAGCTACTCTGGACGCTGAGGCAGGAGGATTGCTTGAGCCCAGGTGTTCAAGACCAGCCTGGGCAACACAGTGAGACCCTGTCTCTAAAACAAATAAATAACTGGGTCTAGTCTTGGTTTAGGCAAAGCCTAATTCTGCTTTTCTTTTTTTCCTTTTTTTTGCTAATCAAACAAGCAGCAGTGATAATTGTGCTTTTGATCTTAAGTTCTTCTCACTGGTCCCTTGGAGAGCTTTCTTGTGATCAGAAGAGCAGCTACTATGATTCCTGGGCTAATGAAGCCTAGACCCCAGCTGGATTGGAAGCAGAGGCCTTCCCTCCACTGGGAAAGGTTCTGCTGCTACCCATCTCATTATTCTAAGAGTGATTGAGACTGGAGGGGCTGAAGGGAAACAAAAGTAGGAGAATGTTGGTCAGAGTTAGTAGAGAAATAATGTAATCTTGAGAAATCAGACATCAGCGCTAAGTCAGGTGCTTTCTTCCTTCAGTGACCTGTGTGTATAGACTTGGGAGGGGTCTATCTGTGGACAGGAATGCTGATTCCTTTTTTCCCCTGGGCAGAATCCTAATGTACCTGGCTAGCTGGTGGTGAACAGGGGCTTTGGGGCCAACTTGGTGGGCTCCCCAAGGAAACCCCTTTGAAACCAATGGATGCATTCACGGGCTCGGGTCTCAAGAGGAAGTTTGATGATGTGGATGTGGGCTCATCAGTTTCCAACTCAGATGATGAGATCTCTAGCAGTGACAGTGCTGACAGCTGCGACAGCCTCAATCCTCCTACCACTGCCAGCTTCACACGTGAGTAAGCTGCTCCCTTCCTGCCTATACCCATATTCCCTACGCATCAGAACCCATGGCAGCTCGAGACAGCTTCTGTGTAGCTTGGGGATATGCCTTTAATCATCATCTTTCCTTGCCCTTTGGAGGACCTCATTTCTCTAATATCATAGACTAAAGTCTGATTTATTCTAGCTGATTTTACTTCTGTTGTGGTTTGCTCGTTCCCAGAATGGGTTAAATTATATTGAAGAAGGAGCCCAGGACTCTACCCTGCCCCCACTACAGTCCCAGAGAGTTCCAGGAAATTGTAGCTGTAGCAGAATATAAATGCTTGCTGCTTGGACAACTGGGGCAAATTCAGATTTCTTAATTCTTTTTTTTTTTTTTTTTATTTTTTTTTGAGCTGGAGTTTCGCTCTTATTGCCCAGGCTGAAGTGCAGTAATGTGATCTCAGCTCACGGCAACCTCTACCTCCCAGGTTCTACCTCCTGCCTCAGGCCTCTCGAGTAGCTTGCATTACAGGTATCCGCCACCACGCCTGGCTGATTTTTTGTATTTTTAGTAGATACAGGGTTTCATCATTTTGGCCAGGTTGGTTTCTAACTCCTGACCTCAGGTGATCCACCTACCTCGGCCTCCTAAAGTACAGGGATCACAGGCATAAGCCACCATGCCCTGCCAAGATTTCTTAATTCTTACGGCTCAATTAGTTCTTGGGAAGAACTTCTGATGCTATATATGAGGGGTTGCCCATGTGCCCATGGGCTAAATCTGGCCCAATGCCTGTTTTGTAAATAAAGTTTTATTGGAATGGCCGCGTTCAGTGGCTCATGCCTGTAATCCAGCACTTTGGGAGGCCGAGGCAGGTGGATCACCTGAAGTTCCGAGCTCGAGACCAGCCTGACCAACATGGTGAAACCCCGTCTCTACTAAAAATACAGAATTAGCCGGGCGTGGTGGCACATGCTTATAATCCTAGTTACTTTGGGAGGCTGAGGCAGGAGAATCGCTTGAACCCGGTAGGAAGAGGTTGTGGTGAGCCAAGATCATGTCATTGCACTCCAGCCTAGGCAACAAGAGCAAAACTCCATCTCAAACATAAATAAATAAATAAAATAAAGTTTTATTGGAACACAGTCATACTCATTGTCTCTGATGGCTTTCATGCTACAGTGGCAGAGTTGAATTTATTGCAACAGAGACCTCATGGCCTGTAGAGCCTAAAATAGTTACTGTCTGGCACTTGACAGTTTGCTGTCCCCTGCTATAGATATGTGCTATCCAGTGGAATTTTCTGTTATGATAAAAATGTTCTGATCAGGCGCAGTGTCTCACCCCTGTAATCCCAGCACTTTGGGAGGCCGAGGCAGTCAGATCACCCGAGGTCAGGAGTTCAAGACCAGCCTGGCCAACATGGCGAAACCCCATCTCTATTAAAAATACAGAAAAAAATTAGCCAGGTGTGGTGGCGGTCACCTGTAATCTCAGCTACTCTGAGACAAGAGAATGGCTTGAACCCGGGAGGCAGAGGTTGCAGTGAGCCAGGATTGCGCTATTGCACTCCAGCCTGGGTGACAGAGCGAGACTCTGTCTCAAAAAAAAAAA